GGTTCTCTTCGGAGTATAGTCCAAACATAAGACTTGACAAACAAGGATGCATCAATAGTCGAAAGTAGAAGAAGAAGTTTTCGATTACCTGGTTTTTATTTCCACCCGATTACCACGGTGAATTAGCACTCAACGATGCTTTAATGAGCCATCGCCGTTTTAAAATTTTCTGAACGTTTGACGTGAAAAATGACCCAAATAAGAAGTTGTATTCAGTAAAATGCTCGGAATGGTGATGGATCAATTATTATCAATTATCCAGGTTCAATTTTATACATAAATACTACATGGGGGGTGTCAAATGGCTTTAATATAGCCAATAACTTCGTCATATGTGGTTTTAAAGAAAAATGTTTCAAATAAAAAATTCTTTATTAATCGTGGCGCATTTTTATATTTGCTTGTTTAGATTGTTTTTTGTTTCGTTTCTATGGCAACCAACATTGTTACTTTAAATAGGATATCTACATATCTACATATGTGTGGGTGTCCAAATTTCGATGGGTTTGCCGGGTATCTCAGTTATTATGAAAGATAGAAAGTTGCGATTTTCGCGAACCTGAGCTACTTTTTTGTGAAACTTACAATGGCGCAAACCAAATTTTCATAGCCCTCTTCGTTTTTGATATACAGGAAGTGTTTCAAAATTTACGATTTTCAGATTCAGGCACCCCGTGTATCTCGGCTATCCGGAAACTTAGTAAAAAATAAAAGCGGGTTCTAATAGATTTTTTCACGTAGAATTTTTGTACTCATCACAGTTTTTGAGTTATAAATACAACTTAGGTTTTTTTTAAATAGAATCACCTATATTTTATTTTTTTATTGAACTAGAATTTTTTTAAGCTCTTCAATGATATATAATACTCTATACTTACCTTTTTAATTAACCTCAAAAATTAAAAATACATTATTTTATAAGTAGGCTGTGATAAATTAAGTGATCGCGTTGCTAGGATACCGGAATAAACAAAGTAAATTTTTTTAATTATTATCAAACTATAAAATAAATAGAAATATATAGAAATATTTTGAATATTTTACCAGCACAGGAATCTATAATCGTCACAATAATAGGATACCGGCATTGGCGTCAAGAAAACCAACATATTGTAATTGAGCGGGAGCGTCAAGGAAAATTTGGTTTTAGCGTGGCATGTTTTATTATTGGGCCACGAATTCTTTATAAAATATATGAAGGAAACTTTTGCACTAATCGCTATTTGACAATTAAGAATTTTATCTATGTTGCAAGTTGGGAATATATTAAAAAATGTACTAAAAAGATATACTAGAAAAAACTTCTTTAACTTGCTTTTATTTAAATATATATCCAGACTAGTTTCGACGTTACACCCTCATCTTCAGTCGTGTTTCTAACTTTACGCGCAATTCTGCTACTTAAAGAAATCGAATTAAATAGTCTTACTTAACCACTTTCTAAAAGTCTCTCGATTTTGGTGGTAGAATAAAACACTGTGAAGACTGGACAACAAAGAGGGTTTATTTTCGGACGGGCATACTTTTATACAGATTTTGGACAAAACAGGTTTACAGAAATATATACAAGGAATTAAAGACGCGATACATGCATGTTAACAATAATTATTTATAATATAAATATACAATAAAAGATAAAAAAATAGCGGAGTGTGACCAAATTAAAAATGTACATGAGACTATGAGTTTTAATTACTCTCCCTTCGCGCGTGTGAGCGCGTTGCTCAAAAATTTGAATTGTCCGCGCGTGTGGGCGCGTTCTGAACAAGTCGAAACTAGCAAAAACGAAAAACACATTAAAATATTAAAATAAAACAGTTTAAAAAAAAGAGATCATGTTTTTCGTTTGAGTTTTTCGCTTTTCATGTATAAATTGCTTTGAAAATTTTTGACTGTAAGTTTTTTAAACGTTTTATTTTAATGTGTTTTTCGTTTTTGCTAGTTTCGACTGAAGATGGGGGTGTAACCTCGATACTATATATACCTCGATATTTTGGATGATATCTATTATTTGGTTAAATAATATTTATTTTCAACAGGACAGAGCTCCCGCTCATAATGCGCGCTTAGTGAGCCAAATTTCCTGGTAGGTGGCTTATGCACACATGATCCAACGCGATGGCCAGCAAGATCACCCAATTTATCCATTTTGAACTACGAATTGAAGGAAATTGAAATGGAAAATCGCTGTAAATGATGCTTTTTCACATTTACAGCAACATCCCATAACTATTCTAAATGCAATTAAACGCATTACTGAACTTTAGAACAATGTGTGTATTAAAATGATAGCAACTTTGAATTGTTACAATTGTTACAACTTGAAGCAATATTTGCATCATTTTTAGTTTTTAATTATTTTTCGTTTTTTGTAAACAAAAATTAACAGATACATTTTTTTAATAAGTCAATAACTAAATAAAAGTAATATAGCAGTAAAAATAGTATTTTCAAAATTTTCTGTTTATTCCGGTATCCTAGCAACGCGATCACTTAATTTATCATAGCCTACTTATATAATATTAAATTAATTATAAAGGTAAGTATAGAGTATTATATATCATTGAAAAGCTTGAAAAAATTCTAGTTCAATAAAAAAATAAAATATAGGTGGTTGTTAATTAGTTTTATCTACAACTATTGAATTATCTATTCGTTATACAATTGATTTTTGACGGGTAATGACATACATTACCCATGACTGACAAAGTGTTGAATAATGAAGCCATTATTCCACAGTTCTGACACGGCCTACTAGTCAAAAAATAAAATATTAACAGAAATGACAGCTTTCTTATATTGAGGTTATGTCTGAAATGTCTATCAAGTTTATTTTTTTTCCTTTTTTTTGATTTTTTTTTCAAAATTAAATAGTTGTAGATAAAGTATAGTATTCAACTTGCGTATAATGATAATAAATAATTCTTCTTCGTGGGTAACAGCCGCCATTATACGCTTGTTGAATAATATACTATTTCACTTACTTAAAAGAACGAAAGAATGTTTCACTAATCACAATAAAGAGTTTATTAACAAGGGTTTACATTAATTTGAATGAAAAAGAACACCATGCACATTCAACCACTCGGTTGCGAATGAAAATTTTCTACTAACTACTAAACAAAAATATTATGAAAAATATTTAAATATTATGTTATATAGCAACGCAAAAAGAAACACATTTGATTTTTAGAATTAAATGATTAAATACTTTTAAACAGTGGTTCCATTTAAAAAAACCTAAGTTATGTTTATAACTCAAAAACCATGATAACTAGAAAAATTCTACGTGAAAAAATCTATTAGAACCCGTTTTTACTTTTTACCAAGTTTCCGGATAGCCGAGATACACGGGGTGTCTGAAAATCGTAAATTTTGAAACACATATATCGTATATCAAAAATGAAGAGGGCTATGAAAATTTGGTGTGCGCCATTGTAAGTTTCACAAAAAAGTAGCTCAGGTTCGCGAAAACCCCAACTTTCTATCTTTCATAATAACTGAGATACCCTGCAAACCCATCAAAATTTGGACCATCTGCACGATGACCATATCAACTCATATGGTAGTATAAGAAAAAATGCGTTCTCAGAAAATATTAAATCTGCAAATTACAATCAAGGTAGGCGCCGAAATAACGCTGTTGACAGCTTTAAATGTCAAAAAGTTGACAGTTCAAACAAATATTGCAATTAAGAATCCAAACATTAATGATGAATGAGTACGGTGGTAGAAAACGTACTCAAAGTGAAGTTTGTACACTGCTCAGTAATATTTACCCGGATACATAAATTACACAATCCAGAGTATCCAAAATATTAAAACAAATTTTTAACACCGGAATTGTTAAAAACCTACCAAAAAGTGGATGACCGTAGACGAAACTACATTAAATGTGTGTCATCGTACCCATGCATTATTATTCATGAATTAATTATCCATAAGTGTTGAAACTGTCATTCTTTTGACATTTAAAGTTGTCAACGGCGTTATTTCAGCACCTACTTGGATTGTAATTGGTGATTTAATATTTTCAGAAAACGCATTTTTTCTCGATTTTTTTTCTTATGCAACCATATTATTTGATACGTTCATCGCATAGAGGGATTTATCCTCTATCAAAGTATGCAAAAGAAATATATATATGTATATCCCATTTAAAATAACAATGTTGGTTGCCATAGCAACGAAACAAAAAAAAATATAAACAAACTTGTATTTGAAACATTTTTCTTTAAAACCAATTGGTGAAGTTATTGGCTATATTCCAGACTTTTGACACACCTGTATAATAAGCATAAAAAAATAGTTAAATTATAGATTAATAAATTAGTTCTGTCAGAATATGCTTTATTAAAGTTAACCTCAAAAATTTCTTAAGAGTATCGTTTTTAAAACAAATAACATCGCCTCAGTAGCCGTGATCGTCTAGTGGTTAGGACCCTACGTTGTGGCCGTAGTAACCCAGGTTCGAATCCTGGTCACGGCAATGTGAAAACATTGTCACGGTGAGGAATTTTTTTTATGGTTAAAATATTGGAGATTTCTTTCTTTATAGATTAATTTTATCTTAAATATACTACTCGCTATGTTAGCAAAATGGAGAACATAATAAATACATTCTTAAAGGTAAAGGTTAATAGGATGGAAATCCCCAATAAATGTTACATAAAATCAGCTCTGTCAAAAAATGCATTGTTGACTAGTTAGGAAGTTATAATTTTATTTGCAAACTGTATAAATGACTGTTTTTAATCATGTTCTTCACTACATATCTATTAATATGGATTTTGTAACAAACTGAAGGATTTTTAATAACCAAGGATGTTCTATTATTGTCTTCATTATCAACAAAATTCTTTTGAAACATGTTTAGAGATTTATTCTATAACGTTTTCGTTAAACAAATAAGCTTCAATAAATCAATGCAGTAAAATCAATAACAGTAGGAATTATATGGTGGAAAAGAAAAATCAACATTTTGCGAAATAAAACTCTAATAACATTGTCATTTATGTATTATTATAACCAACAATACAATGAACGCTGACAATTTTGCCAACAAAAATGTACACGGGGGGGTTTTCCCTCAAATAAATATTAGATATTACATTACACATAGGGCAAAAAAATTGGTTAAAAATTACAATTAAAATTTTTTGGTGATATAGATGAATTAATTTTGAAAATAAATGTAAATAGAATCTAAATTAAAGAAATAAAACTGGGATTTCACTAAATCGTGCACGGTTTCCTTTATTTTTTATTTATCTTTACGTTTCCTTGCTATTATGTGTTACAAATTATTTAAAAATCAACGAGGACCCTGTAATAAAATAATAAAAATCCTCGTTTATTTCTAAATTAATTATTACGACTCGTCCGAGTACAATAGGTATATTAAAAAAAAAACATCCCAAGAATGCTTTTTTTTTTTCTTTTTAAGGATTTACAAACCGGTTAAGATGACGCGAGGGTCTTCAACTGCCGCTTTAATCTTTCTAAGGAACATAACAGCCTCACGACCATCTATTAACCTATGATCATAACTCAAAGCGATATACATCATTGGTCTAACCACTACTTGACCTTTCACAGCTATTGGACGATCGAATACACCATGCATTCCCAAAATAGCTGATTGAGGCATATTTATAATCGGAGTACTTATTAAAGAACCAAAAACACCGCCGTTACTAATCGTAAAAGTACCACCATCCATATCTTCAATTGCCAAAGTACCTTTTTTAGCTTTTTCACCAAGATTAGCAATTTCTTTTTCAATATCCGCATAGGACATTTTTTCGACATTTCTTAAAACAGGCACGACAAGACCTTTAGGCGTCGCAACAGCAACAGAAATATCAATGTAATCGCGATAAAGAACTTCATTCCCATCAATAACCGCATTTAAAACCGGTTGATCTTGAAGAGCGTAAGCGGCCGCTTTACAAAACACAGACATAAAACCTAATTTAACGCCGTGCCTTTTAACGAAAGCATCTTGATTTGTTTTACGATATTCCATGATGTAACTCATATCGATTTCGTTGAATGTTGTTAACATGGCAGTGGTATTTTGGGCATCTTTTAATCTTTGGGCTATCTTCAATCTCATTCTGTTCATCTTTACTCTTTGCTCACTACGTGTTCCAGAAATTAAAGATGTTGGATCTTGAGGTGGAAGCTAAAAGAATTAATTTTTAGAATTTTCAATAATTGCTTATAATTGTAATTAAATTTAATATAATGATCATCTAATAATAATAATTGTTTACCTTCACTGTGGCAGCTTCCAGTGTTTGTGCATGTCGAATTGCAGCAACAGGAATTGAACTAACTGGAGCTGCAGGTCGTGGTGGAGCTGCAGCTGCTCTTGGAGGAGGAGGTGGTGGTTTACTAGCAGCTGCGGATGGTGGTGGTGGAGGTGGTGGTGGAGGTGCAGTAGGTGGTGGGGCAGCTTTTGGTGATGGAGGTGCTACAGGAGCAGCTTTAGCAGCCGGAGCAGCACCACCAGCGGGAGCTGCACCAACTTTAATCTTAAAAAGTTTATCTCCAGGTTTTACAGTTGTTCCATCAGGGATCATAATCTCTTCAAGAACTCCATGAGAGGGGGCGGGAACCGGGATGGCGGTTTTATCGGTTTCGATTTCGCAAACAACATCATCTTCTCGGATTGGATCACCGACTTTTTTCATATACCTTAGGAAATTAATTTTAAATAAAAATAAGTCATATGATTTAAAGTTATAATTTTATGGAAAAATTCAAGAATCGATGTGAAATGACCAAGAAAACACGTTCAATATAAAAAAATGTGCGGAAAAGTGTAGAACATACCAAAAATAACATTAAAGTTTCGATGTGACGTCATGTTTTGTGACGTCACAAGCAAAATTAACCAAATTGTTTATTTTATAGCCACGCACAAAATCATTCTGATAAACTTAAAAGTAAAGTTATTTTCACTAAACTAGGTATATTTTCGGATGACATACTCTTGTTTTTCTTAAGGTTTTGATGCATAACGACCTGTTCTACAGTGACTCACATAAGTGATCAGACACTTATGTATTATACATGAAATAAATATTTATATCCACAATTGATTTATTACCGCTTCTTTAGTGTATTTAGTATATTCTTAGAGACATTTCCTTGAATAATTTAGTAAAATTTTCTGTAAAGTTACATACATTTTGAAAATAAATAAAATAAAGTCGGATAGACTGTGGAAGTATACACACATAAATCATCAGATACTCGATTTGCTACTCTAATTTAATCAGCTACATAGATGGCACCACTAATTATAAATTTGATTGTTGTTAATGTCAAATACAAAGGTTGTGTGAAGACAACAATATTATTTGTATCTTTGCAACAATGGTACCGAAAAGAACAGAAACATGGTTGAGAAGTCTATTGATTATTGGAACAAGGTAATTTTTGTAGATAAAAGTAAGTTCAATATATTTGGAAGTGATGAACGGATAATGGTTTGGCGGAAATGTAATGAAGAGATGAAAAAAAAAATCTAGTGCCAACCCTAAAACATGGTGGTGGTGGAGTCATGGTTTGGGGGTGTATGTTCGCGGCTGGGGCGAGTGATTTGGTTACAATAGAAGGCATAATGGGCCAATATGGCTCTTTGAATATTTTAAAGAACCATTTAAAATCGTCCGCAAATAAAATGGGCCTTCTAAACAACTTCCAATTTTATCGGGATAACGATCCGAAACATAAGGCCCATAATGTAAGGCTATGATTACTTTACAACTGCCCAAAAGTAATCGAAACACCTCCACAATCACCTGATCTAAACCCAATCGAAAATCTTTGGGAAGAATTAAATCGCTGAATAAGGACGCGAACCATATCCTCCAAATCAGAGCTCATTAAAACGTTGAAAGAAGAATGAGCAAATATATCCTCCACAATTACCAAAAATTTGGTCAACTCGATTCCAAAAAGGTTGACAGCTGTTTTATCGGCCAAGGGAAATCCCACAAAATGTTAAAATTCGATTAAATAAACTATTATTATAATTATTATTATAAATAAAACCTTTTCGCTGTTTTATTATTAATAAGTATATTTTCTACATATTTTCTATAATATCTATCATATTTATTTTTGTTGATTTATTTAATATTTATTTATTTTTGTGCTATAGCTTAGTGTCCGATCATTTATGTGAGTCACTGTAGATAGACTGTGTGTCAATAGGCTCTCTGTTAATACTAGAACTAACACTAGACCGAAAACTAGAAACATTCGGATTTAGCGGCGCGTGTCTCAGGACGGCTAAACCCGAATGATTCTAGTACTAGGTCTTGTATTAGTTCTAATTTTAAGCAATAAAAATATGCAACAGTGATATATTATGCTAACTAGCGCTACCTACCACTGTCACTAGAACTAACATTAGACCTAGAACGAAAAACATTCAGGTTTAGCCGTCTTAAGAGACGCACAGCTAAACCCGAATGTTTCTGGTTCTAGATCTAGTGTTAGTTCTACTTTTCGTTCAATAAAAATATACCACAACCTAATACTAAATAACATTTAAAACTAGAACAAACACCAGACCTAGAACTAGAAACATTCGGCTTTGGCCGCACGTCTCTCAAGACGGCTAAACCCCAATGATTCTAGTTCTAGGTCTTGTGTTAGTTCTAGTGTAATATTAGAACAAGTTATTTTCACTAAACTAGGTGAGATTACAACGTATATTTTCGGATGAAATACCCTTGGTTTTCTAAGGATTTCGATGCATAACAACCTGTTAGATAGACTATGTGTCAATAGACTCTATTTACCATTTACCTACTCGCGTGGATCTTAATATTAACCTAACAAACCCACCCTCTGCTCCATGCCCAACCCGACATTTGGGAAATTCGCACTAGTTTAAATGTTAATTAACCTAACTCAAGGTCAAATTTCTACAAAACATTCTAAAATAGATCATTAAATTAGGTGTATCCAAATATAACGCGTTGTTTTAACAAACCCAACCCGGAATTTACAACCCACCCTCTGCTCCATGCCCAACCTGACACTTGGAAAATTCACACTAGTTTAAATATTAATTAAGATAACTCAGAGTCGAATTTCTACACAAAATTCTGAAATAAATCAGTAAATTAGGTGGATCCGAATGTAACCTGTAAAGAAGAGGGAGGTGAATAGGGCATCAGGTATAGATTTTAGGTTATCTTTAGTTTATAGATGGTAAACAACATTTTAGTCGTTGTGCGTCGAAAATCTAAAAAAACAACCGTATTTCACCCGAAAATATGCGTTTTAAGCAAATGTGCAGCGAAAATATATGCTTAAATACATGACGTCACAAAAAGTGAGGTCACGTCGAAACTTTAAAGTGATTTTTCGGTAAGTTTTACACTTTTCCGCAATTTTTTTTATTTGTAATGACTTACTTGAGTGATTTTCAGTCGATTAAAAAAAAAATTGTCGATTTTTAAGCCATGTGATGATTCTTGAATTATACTTAATTTTATTTATTGAATTAAATTTGATAAAAGTGTTATTAGAAAGTAATGACCTTAATAAAGATAAGTAGGTCAAAATAATTCAAAAGGAATTTGGAATAATACTCACTTAACATCACCTTCAGCTACGGATTCTGGAAAACCAGGGCAAGCAACAATTTTAACTTCATCCCTTAAAATAGAACTAGTTCTAAAGAATTTAACACCTTGGTCATAAATATTCCGATGTTGTCTATAACACCAAAAATAAGAATAATAAAAAATCACTGTATCATAGTAAGCAAATATTTATTTTACACCAACCTCGTAATTAACTTAGAACTATTTTTCGATATTCTTACTGCATGCTGAATAGATCTTGTCCCAATCTAAAAACAAATAATCAATTTAAAAGTGGCTTATTTTAAAATAAGAATTTATTCTTATTTCTTTCATCAAATTGCACGTGTTACATAATACAATAAAATTAATGGTAGATACTGCACATAATCGTGCCTATTTTAAACTCTAAAAAACGCGCGTTACGTTAACTGGTTACATTTACCTGTAAGGTTTTGGTGTTGATAGATTCGTTCAATGCCCTAATTACCGATCGGGACATATTTCTGGAAGCCATGGTTAGCATTCCAGCCATAATTTTACTATTTAGGAACTCGAACGGTCCCCGTACTCTTGTCAAAATGATCGAGACTTACCAACCATACCCTAGTGTCAGAAGCATTTGACACTTTTCCAGTGATTTTTCATAATCAGCGCCACACAGCGATAAGAAATTGTACTCATCACTTATCATTAATAAACTTTTTTTAAATCTGGTTTAATTTTATCGTATTTTAACGTAAACTAATTGCGCAAAACTATTTCGATATCCACACGGAATTTTACGCAATTACTTATCTAGGTTCAAAGTTGAATGTTTCGATTATCCACTTCAACTTATCAATACCACACCCATTTTTTTAACAATTATATTTATCCATTATCATTTAAAATTAACTTATCAAATATTTATAATAATACAACAATAAATTATTTTAACGTTAAAGTAATCAAATGTAGCTTAAATTTAATCAAACGAACCTTTACATAGTTCAAAGTTTTTTCTAACGTTTTGTTTAGACAAACTTAATTGGTTTTTTTTTACAATTAAAATTATTTATAATTATGTAAAATCGTTAAAATTCATCTATAAAACTTAAAATAAATACATGAAAATATTTGGAATGAATCAATCGAACATTTCATTCGTTGACTTTTATTACTATTTCTACAAATCACCACCAGCACTCTAATATAAGCGCTGCTGTAGCAAATTTAAATTTGAATGCAGTTTATTTTTCACGTTTTTTAATTTCTTCTTTTTAAGTCAATTATTAATATTTTGTAAAAAAAATTATAGATTCAACTCTACAAGTTATTAAATGTTTTATAATTTATAAACGAGCTGTATAACACATTTCACGAAATAAGTGAGGTTATGTACATTCTAATTGAACTGTCAGTCTAAAAACTTAATTTTAATGTATAATGGCTGGATCTGGAGCTTATAAAAGAATATTAACCGTTTTGGAACGTTTACCAGTAGATCCAAGCAAAAGTGGAAGGTATTTACAATTTTTTTAATATTTAAGTACGCATTGTTATATAACATAACCTTACTTAGAGATTTGGGTCCTTATTTAAAGGAATACGTAAAGAAACAATACAAAGAAGGTAAATTTCAAGAGCACGTCCAATATTGGGATAGACAATACATAGCGTTAGAAAAGATAGTTGATAACGAAAATTTAAAAAAATATAAACGAGTTTTGAATTCGTCCGCGACAGGATTAACTGCAGAACAGTGTAATATAGCTTTATCAAATGAGTTTTTGGAGTTGTTGATTGAAGAGGATAAATCGTTTATAAATAAGGTGTTTAGTAAAGATAAGAAGAATGAATAAGATTAGAATTTTAAGAAAATGTAGTAGTTTTGTTTTAAATGTAGAAAATGTTCCACACAAGCCAGTTATGGCAGAAGCTGTGTTAAAATATTTAAAACCAACAGATGATCAAGTTATATTAGATATGACTTTTGGGGCAGGTGGACACAGTAAAAGAATTTTGGAAACTTTAAAAAACATAAAATTATTAACTTTAGATAGAGATCCAGTTGCTTATGATTACATGAAAAAGCTACAAGAAGAATATCCAAATAGAATTGTTCCACTCCTAGGAAAATTTTCTGATCTTCCACACCTTTTAAGTGAGCAAAAAATATTTCAAAACTCAATTGATGGTATTTTATGTGATTTTGGGTGTTCTTCCATGCAATTTGATGAATCAGATAGAGGTTTTTCGTTATCAAAAGATGGCCCATTAGATATGCGGATGGATAAAGATAGGTGTCCAGATACTTTAACAGCCGCCGAAGTCCTTGAAAGAGCTACAGAAGAAGACTTAGCAAAGATAATTAAAGTTTATGGTGAAGAAAAATACGCAAAAAGAATTGCTCGAGCTATTGTGGAGGCTCGATATTTATTTAGAAAATTACAAACCACCGGAGAACTAGCTGATTTAGTTGATTCAGTTTGCGAAGATGACAACAGAGTTGATAAATTACAAAGATATTCTCATTCGGCCACAAAAACTTTTCAAGCACTTCGGATTTTTGTTAATAATGAATTAAATGAAATTAATTACGGTTTAGTTTTAGCGGGGAAGTATTTAAAATTTGGAGGGAGAATTGTTACGATCACTTTTCATTCATTAGAAGATACAATTGTTAAACGACATTTATTAGGAAATGTTCTAAATAACACTGCTAATCCTTTACCTTTAAAATATAGCAGTCACAATATGAGTTTACCTAAAGAAAATATGGATCAACTTATGGAACCAAATTGGATTTGTTTAAATAAACATGTAGTTACACCTACTGAAGAGGAAATTGATGAAAATCCTAGGAGTCGATCCGCTAAATTAAGAGCTGCTGTTAAAGTCAAATAATTTGCTTTTTATATTTTTTTATAAACTTTTTAAAAATGAAAAAGAAAGTGGTTATTTAGATTTAACAAAATGTATTTTTATTATTAACCTAAAACATTGTATGATATCATCAACTTATACTGCTTGTAACTTATACAAGGTGTCTTGTACTTTATGGAACAAACCTAACCTTAACCTGTAATAATTAGGGTTTAACTTAGTGTGTCATGGAAAACAAATGTTTAATGAGATATTGACAAACGTCTAAGGTCATTATTCCCATCTTTTAGTTAATTTTCTCTTATAGATAAACCCATCTACTAGCCAATCAGAGCTCGTAAAATAGTCGTAACCGGGGTAATAATCCCATAGATAGTTTAACCAGAAGATGGTAGTAACAAGCCTAAGGTTTATAATATCTAGTTAAGACGATTTATCTGTCAATTAAAATTGTAGCTGACAGATAACGTCGACGAATCGTTTATCCACCTGTAGTTTAGGGTCATCTTATAGGTAAGTGTGACATTTGCATACCCACCAGATTGAAGTACTGGTTAACGGTTTACCTATTAGATATTGTCAAAAAAATGTGCGCGCAAGTTTGGTTGCTTGGTGAAAAGAAAGGACAATAAAATCAAAATATAACGTCAAAAATAAATTAAGCTTATAATTATAATTGAGAAAGAAAAAGATAATCGAATTTTAGTACAGCAGAAAAGAACTTGCTGATAGATTTGGCAAACGAATATAAAAATGTTAAAGAAAATAAATAATAATCTAATAATTAAAAAAAATAATAATATAATCTATAATCTAATACATAATCTCGTCTCAATTTTAACCAAGATTGACAAAACTGTGTCCTTTTTTGACCGAAATCTAACAAAAAAATCGTGGTTATCCAACTCCTCAAAGTGGTTTTGTCTTTCTTTTATAATTTAAGAGTTGGACAGTATTCTCATCTTCATCGCTGTTTAATAAATATTCATATAGGAATTCCATTATAAAAGAGATTTTCGAAAACAACGCACAATACCGAAAGCACACGAGAATGATAACCTCCAGAACACGATCTATATCTATATCAACTTCACAAACTAAAGTCAATTATTCAAATTTGACCAATCGGGGTGAGGTGGGAAACGTGACGTCATTGGAGGAAAAATATAACAATATGATATAATATAAATTTAATATAATATAATAATAATATTTATGTTAATAATTATTTAAAAATTAAACAAGTGTTATTAAACTCAAGAAATAAAGAGTTTCTGTTGGTTTACGTATATAAATGAAAACAGAAATGACAATTCTTCCAATGACGTCACAACAAGGCCTTTGTCTATGGGCCTTTGCGGAGGGGATACGTTCATAACAACAGCCTATGACAACAGTGTTCATAGGAAGTTGGATATCCTTATACAGTATGTTTACTCAACGGACCTTGGGATAGAAAGTTGCTGGATAAACGCTTCACTGAGGTTATCTGTTGGGCAAGTTTATCCATGAGTTGCGTATCTAACAGATTTAACTGGACATTGATAAACCGACCCTTAGTCTGATTTACGTTATGTTAATAGACAACCTAAGCCTTGACGTCACAGAGATAAACTAAGTGACATTTTAAATGACATATGGGCAGAAGAAATACTTAATTTATTTTTTATGCACGGACATAATACAGTTCTACTAAGAACTTGCAGAATGTTTAATGAAAGCTATCCACATTTACCGCCCATGACAAAAGGTAAAGTTAGAAGAATAGAAATACAAATTTTTTGCATTTTGGACGAATTAATCACGTGTTAAACCGACCAAAAAATGTAATGAAGCAGAAGAGGTGAATACCTTGGCATATTTCGAGGTCAATCCCAACGCTTCAATTCGAGCTGCCAAAGAAGATCTGGGAATTATTAGGTGTTCAGTGCAGGGAATCTTGAAAAAACATCAGTTCCACAACTACAAGTTATCGTTAGTTCAAGAGATTCATCCTCAAGATCCCGACGACCGCCTCAACTTGTGTGAGATATTTTTGAAAAAATTATAACGACGAACGAATCTAAGTTGTCGCGCGAAGGTTTCTTTAACAATCATATATGGGCTTCCATCAACCCACATGCAATACGAGAAAAAAACTATTAGGTTAGGTTTAGTTTCAACGTTTTTTTTTGCCTTATGATGGATGGCAGGTTCGCTTAGGTCATTTATGACGACGATATTGTAACGACAAAGCGGTACCTGAATTTATTACGTATTGTGGTAGAAGATTTTCTTGACAACCTTTGAACTTGAGAAGAAGCTATTATACTGGATGGAGCTCCAGCGCATTGCACCCAGGAACTCTCCTCAATCTTCGAAGACAGGTGGACAAGGTGGTTACCGTGGAACTGGCGGGCAAGATCTCCATATTTGACGCCTGTGGACTTCTACCTTTGGGGACGTATAAAACATCAGATCTACCAGACACCGGTAAACACGATGGAGGAATTACAAGCACGCGTGCGAGCAGCATTCAACAATCTCTCTCCTCAAGAAGTACGAAGAGCAACACTTGAGGGTTTTTTTCACGTATAACGCACTGCCTGAATATGAACGGCCACCAATTCGAACATTTATTGTAACTTGTTGAAATGTTGATATTCCGCAAGTTCCACTACGAACTTTGTCGCGCTTTCCACATATAAAAAATAAATTAAGAATTTCTTGATTTGTGTAAATATTTTTTTCGTTACTGTTATTGATTTTAACTCTTTTTAGTACTAATATTAAGGCACCTAACAGATAATTATTAGCTCACATGCATCAGGTGACGTAAACAANTAACCTAGTGTGTCATGGAAAACAAATGTTTAATGAGATATTGACAAACGTCTAAGATCCATTACTACCATCTTTTAGTTAAATTTCTCTTATAGGTAAACCATCTAATAGCCAATCAGAGCGCGTAAAATAGCCGTAACCGGGGTAATAATCCCTTAGATAGCTTAACCAGAAGATGGTAGTAACAAGCTTAAGGCTCGTTAAGGGATTATTACCCCGGTTACGGCTATTTTACGCGCTCTGATTGGCTACTAGATCGGTTTATCTATAAGAGAAATTTAACTAAAAGATGGTAGTAATGGACCTAAGTCTGATTTACGTTATGTTAATAGACAACCTAAGCCTTGACGTCACAGAGATAAACTAAGTGACATTTTAAATGACATTTTTATGGCGATTTATTTTAGCAACGAAATTGTTTGGAGTCGGTGTAAGCTCCGTCCATCTCTGTGACGTCAGACTTAGGCAGAAGAAATCCTTACTTTATTTTTTATGCACGGACATTCTGCAAGTTCTTAGTAGAACTTAGTAGTTCTTAGTAGAACTTGCAGAATGTTTAATGAAAGCTATCCACATTTACCTCCGATGACAAAAAGTAAAGTTAGAAGAATAGAAGCATTTTTTTTGCATTTTGGACGAATTAATCACGTGTTAAACCGACCAAAAAATGTAGTGTAATAGATAATGAAGCAGAAGAGGTGAATACCTTGTCATATTTCGAGGTCAATCCCAACGCCTCAATTCGAGCTGCCAAAGAAGATCTGGGAATTATTAGGTGTTCAGTGCAGGGAATCTTGAAGAAACATCAGTTCCACAACTACATACAAGTTATCGTTAGTTCAAGACATTCATCCTCAAGATCCCGACGACCGAGTCAACTTGTGTGAGATGCTTAACGACCTTCGCCGTTAAAAGGATGAAAACTTTTTGAAAAAATTATATCGACGAACGAATCTAAGTTTTCGCGCGAAGGTATCTTTAACAATCATATATGGGCTTCCATCAACCCACATGCAATACGAGAAAAAAACTATTAGGTTAGGTTTAGTTTCAACGTTTTTTTTGCCTTATGATGGATGGCAGGTTCGCTTAGGTCATTTATGACGACGGTATTGTAACGACAAAGCGGTACCTGAATTTATTACGTATTGTGGTAGAAGATTTTCTTGACAACCTTTGAACTTGAGAAGAAGCTATTATACTGGATGGAGCTCCAGCGCATTGCACCCAGGAACTCTCCTCAATCTTCGAAGACAGGTGGACAAGGTGGTTACCGTGGAACTGGCGGGCAAGATCTCCATATTTGACGCCTGTGGACTTCTACCTTTGGGGACGTATAAAACATCAGATCTACCAGACACCGGTAAACACGATGGAGGAATTACAAGCACGCGTGCGAGCAGCATTCAACAATCTCTCTCCTCAAGAAGTACGAAGAGCAACACTTGAGGGTTTTTTTCACGTATAACGCACTGCCTGAATATGAACGGCCACCAATTCGAACATTTATTGTAACTTGTTGAAATGTTGATATTCCGCAAGTTCCACTACGAACTTTGTCGCGCTTTCCACATATAAAAAATAAATTAAGAATTTCTTGATTTGTGTAAATATTTTTTTCGTTACTGTTATTGATTTTAACTCTTTTTAGTACTAATATTAAGGCACCTAACAGATAATTATTAGCTCACATGCATCAGGTGACGTAAACAAGTGAGATTTTGACAAGACAAGAAGCGTAGTCAATGGACTACGCTTATTTTCCATGGCACACTAGGTTAATATCGATAAGATATGTATGCATTTTTCAAAAAACCCTAATTATCTCCCAAACTAGTAATGTTAGGTATAAGACATATGGGGGACATAATATATAAAGATGTAAAATGAAACGACTAATTGTAAGTAATAAAATATGGGGGTTACCAAACGATCTACACAGCCGTTCTCGGCACCAAAACATACTCAATCATGTTGGTTAAACATATTCTGAATCCTAAATTGATATCCCAAAAATCGAGATTTTTTGAGTAAATGTCTGCTATATAGTAGATTTGTTTAGAAAAAATCGAATAACTCAAGAAAGTTGGAATCAAATTGCAAAAAGTAAAGTTATTCATAAACCATGAAAATAGACAAATCCAAATTTATATAAAAATATACAGGTGTTTCATTAAAAAAATAACTAAGTGGCAACTTCCGGTATAACCGGAAGTGCTAGAAATCTGAAAATATTTTGGTCAAACAGAACGTTATTGATTATACTTAAATCTGAATTCTCAAATTTTTATTTTGGCCAGAACCCCATAGACGTCTAATGATCGTTTCAGCGCCAAGTT